CTTACCCACGCTGACATGGAGAGAACATGCAAACTCCACACAGATGTGCCCCAGCTGGCCGGCAGGTTCAAACCAGGAACCCTCTTGCTGTGACGCAGCAGTGCCAACCACTGCACAGTAGTCAATATAAAACTGCAGCCATTAACCAGCTCACAGCTAAAGCAGCTCTGTAAATACACTGTGGGTAGTGAAGGTAATGCTGTGTAAGCATAAAAAATACCTGCTAAATATTGTAATTCCTGATAATTGGCGGCCACATTAAATCACTCTGGGTGGAAAATTGCAGAGAACAGGCCGTAGTGGATGGATATGTTAAATTCAGTTTTCAAGTGTGCACAAAGAGGTATCGACTCGCCGAATCCCAGGTGAGGCTGACTCCTGGTGCGAGTGATCGATGTGTGTGTGGTCACTGAACTGAGCTTAGAGGTAGTTTGTATTCTATTAGGCATCTCTGGGGCTTTGCAGCAGTAGAACAAAAGCGCATGCTGATGCCTAATTGCTGCCAAAGAAAAGACCAGTGCCATTGTTACATCTGTAGGCTGTTACTGCTGCTGTTTCCACCTCAGTCAGTCTCCGTTGCTACGAGAAGTTGCCAATCCTGTCGTGGCCGAGCCTGATACATTATTCTGTTCTATGTGTTACAGCTTTCATTGCTGCTGATAAGCCTCCTAATATATGTTCATTTAGCGTCCACATCGGATGGATTTGTTTGTTTTATTTGTGTATGGAGACAGGGAAACACTCCACACATCATTTAGTGACATATTAATGGGCTATAAATCTATTTACTGAATAAGTCAATGGGTTTCTGTGCTTAGTTTCTGACAGACAGTAGGAAGTGACAAGGTTGTCACGTTAACCATGATTTTTTTTCCCCATATCCTTCTGAGACCCTGCGTCCTCACATGAAGACATCCCATTGTGGGTTTCCTGCATCTTATCCTTCATTCTGCATAACTTAGAGCTGTTGTCCTCATTTGTGGAAACTTTTATGTTCCTATCCTGACACCGAAGTGGACAAGATATAAAACCTGATCAAATTTTATGGTTGAAACTTGTTTATTTGTGCTAAATATTGTCTGTAGTTTAACATAGCAACAAATTTGACCAATTTTAACAGCAATGAGCTAAAATGCTGTTAATAAGGAAGTACTCCTTTAAGGACACTGGGACTTTATTATGGTATTATTGTAGCATTTCACACAGGCCAATTAGGTGTGACTGTTCAGACATAAAGGACATTCCTAGAATTTCTTTCATCTTTTTTTGCACAGCTATGTTGAAGCATTGGGCAATGAACAGCTTTGAACAGTCTTAGGCCTCTAGTTTCTCAGCGTGGCGCAGGGTGGCGAACCCTGCGCAGAGCTAGTTTCGAGCAGCGCTCAGTTTGGTAGTTTGGCAGGCCGAGGTGCGCTGAGATGGGTGAGGCGGCGCAGCAGGGGGAGGTGTCGACAGATCCAGCCTGGCGCAGTGACAGTTTCGTGCCAAAAGGCTTCGCCGAAGGTGTGCTAAAAGCTCGCCAGCTGAAACCAGGTCTACTGTCAACGCAGGCTGATGCAATAAATACCCAAAAAAAACACTATTCAATGCAACTATCTGCAGTCAGCACATAAATGTATCTCTATATCGACTGTCCCGTCACATCTGATGTCAGATCAAAGGGGATTGGCACCGTTTGGCACGTTTGGCACGCGTAATGGAAACCCAACCTGATTTGATTAACACATCTGCAAACTAATGAGTTCACATCCCTCTCAGCCAACCACAAACAGCCACAGCATCAGATAGGGAGTATATATTCAGCACTATATTCATTCACTAGAAAAGTCAAAAGAAAAGAAACAGAGTGAGACTGCGAGAGAGAAAGAGAGAGAGCGCGTGCACGAGAGAAACGCAACATTGATTTACAATTGTGGTGACCTCCTCCCAGGCTACCTTTGCATCATCAGTCCGTGGAGGTCTGCTCGCAGTTCTGTATATTCGGACACTGCGAGCAGACCTCCCGGACCAAAACATCAGTTATCTCCTGGGAGATGTTTGGCCCTCTGGCGCTGCTGCTCTCTTCTGCCATGGCGAATTGAGTAAACTCTCATTACGCCTTCGTGTGGCGCATTTAAGGGCGAGGAGAGGGGCTCATTTGATTGGTGTGACGTGTGTAAAACCCACTCCACGCCTTCTCTCCTCCCTCTTTCTGACTTGCACAGGTATGACGGACAGAGGTGGGAAAGAGGAGTTGCTGCGCCAGGCGCACGGTGTGCCAAACTTGCAAAATCCGCCTGGCCACACCCAGTTGGTGAAGCGCAGGTGCGCTGCACCTCCGCCTCGTCCGGTCTGCGAAACTAGAGGCCTTAGACTTAAACAGTGACCTTTAACCCACAGAGTTACAACAAATTAAACAAATGTTGCATTGCTTGTCATTTTGTTTTGACATTAACAGTTTCATACTTTAATGCTCACTTGTGATTATTAAAATAAACCCATTGCACCCATATTAGTTCATAATTTCCTCCAAAAACAACTTCCTGTTCAAAGACATTGCCTTGTTTTTTATACATATCAGGTCTTACATTTCCAGTAAGCTCGGAGAAACTACAAATGCATACCAAACAAAAGCTTGGGTCTCAGGAGGATAAAGATTACCGACATGGGAGCAAAAGAAAATGTGCGTCCAATGCAGTCTTACATCATATCAGCAAGTCTGACTCAAAAAATGAAACATCATAAGCTTCTTAAAGGTAATAAGACTTATAGATGTTGCAGTAGATTACAGTAGAATACAGTAGACTGTATTGTGTCCATCCTGCATCTCCCTTGAAACAACCACCTCACTAAGGGGTGGACGGGGACAAAGGTTGGCCCAGACCACGATCCATCACACAAACATGAGTCATGTATATATTACATGATATAGAAGTGTAGGTTTCTCTCATCATTTGAGGGGACACATATTAAAAAGGAGTTCTTGAGCATCAAGCACTTCAAAAAGAGGTAGTTGTGTCGGCCCAAAAGGCTCATTGGCCCACTGGGACACTGCCCGGTCTGCCAGATGGCCGGTCCACCCCTGACCACACTGCTCCTGTTCCCCAGTTATTTATACTAGTTTTTAACTGATCCAGGCATCAAACAGGAGTTCACAAGAAAGCCCCAACAAAAGATTTAGTGAGATCCAGGTCCTCATGTCCGCCAACTCCCTGCCCTTCGTAACACTAATACAGCTGAAGTGTTCTTGTATTGTTGTTGGTTTTTTATCACAGAAATCAAAGCTTTTAAAAGATCTTGAAACTGGTTTGTGACCAGAGGGGACGGCCACCAGAAACTGTTTCCTGCCCAGCTCCTGTGCAGCCTCCATCATGGTGCCAGTGAGTTACTGTGCACACTAACAGGGGTCCTGTCTGCTCGGAAGCTTTGGACAGTCTGTGTTTGCAACCAGAAGGAAAGTAAGGCTGGAAGCTTGTATCTGCTGCACCAGTCTCTGTTCAGTTTTTTATTATGTTTACGGGTTGTCTGTTTGTACTTACGTCTTTTTCTGATGAACATGATATCTCAAGAACACCTTGAGGGCATTTCTTTAAATTTGATGCAAACGATGGGCTCAGCAATGAACTGGTTACATTTTGGTGGTCAAAGTTCAATGTGAATTTATTTATTCAACATATAATGCACATAACTGTACATATGTCTTATGTTTATCCTTATTCTTGTTTTTATTCTATCGATGTATATATTGCAGTGAACATTATGGCATAATACATATTTTATATTTCTGAATGAATGTAACATACTAGTAACATACACAGTGCGCATATTTGTATATTTTACACACTTTCAGACTCAGAGCCAGAGCTTGTGGAAGAGGTTGAGCGCTACCGGCTAGATATAGTCGGCCTCACCTCGACACATTATATGTGTGCAAAATACAAAATGCAAAATACATCCATGAGCAGGAGTCACCCTGGATGCAGGGGTCACTTGCAGGTGCCAGGTGGGAGCTTCTCGCGAGATTTTAAAGTATTTCGTCTCCTCGTCCAGGAAAAAAAATTACCACGAAAAACAGAAAAAAATACCACAAAAAAAACAGAAAAAAATACTCAGAAAAACAGAAAAATAAATAATTTACTCCAAAAAACAAAAATTACTCAGAAAAACATGGCTTTTTTTAATTTGTCAAGTGAGTGCAATACGCTTCCGTAATTTGGTGTTCATTTTTCTCATTAGTCTTTAATTTTATAAGATAAATAATAGATTGATAAATAATCGTTTTTGAAAAGCTAGATTAATGAAAGCAGTCATCCATGTTGTATTCCATTCTGTCACTTTTCTTCTCATCTTTTGCCTTTTATCTCTTATCTTTTTTCTTATGGAACCCATATCTGAAATAAAGTGAAAACTGAATTGGCTTTTCCCTGAGTGATGGCCGCCTGTGACAGGAAAAAGTCACATTTTCACAACAAAAGAAGAGTAAGTGAGCTGATAAGATCAGACAGAAGCCTCTCTTTTTGACCATCGTAGCATAAAGGATGTATAGAAATGCTGGCTGTCCACCACAGCACCAGCGTTCATCACTGAGCAGCTACAAATAGCAGCTGGGTGGCGGGTGTTGGTGTGTGCAGCTACCAAGTGGTGTATAATTTCATTGTTATTAGTGAGGAGACGTTTGAGCTGCATCAGTAATCCATTCTTCAGCACATTGATATCCCTTACATGCTGCAGCGCCTTTAGTTTTTCTCTCAAGTGCTTTGCCAATCAGTGGATTTGGTCCACCTCTTTCCCTGAAAAGACTTAAAACAGCACTCTATCACACATCATTACAAGTCTGTTGAAGGATAATTATGATGCTGAGATAACCACGTCATACATGGCCGTATGATACTTAAATTAATTCCCCCCACAATCTGTTGATGCTTGATACAAAGGCAAGTTATTGGCACGCAGCGTGTCCAGCTGACGACATTCAAAGCAAGCCACTCTAACGTGTCGCTTCTTATGTTCTTGTCATGCAGATCCCAGTGAGAGCCTGTACAGCATGAGGCTGGTGTGGAAATCCCTGGACAAGATGAGGTGTCTGAGGAAACGCTCCACCATCCCCTTCCTCGGCTTCCTCATCACCTTCCTCCTCTTCCTCAACCTCTACATTGAAGATGGCTACGTGCTGGTCAGTACATGTGTGTTGTGTATGTTTTAGATTAAAGTGCCCACTGAGTGTTTCTACCCTTTTTTTAACCTTTTAAAAATGGGCATTCAGCAGACAGACCCTGTTTAAACTGATATACAGACCCGCTTCCAAAAAAGATGGGATGTGTGTTAAATATCAAAAACAGAGTGCAATGATTTTTAAATCCCTTTAACATACATTCTGTTTAATACAGTACAAATGTTCAAACTGATAAACTTTATTGTTTTTTGTACATATACATTCATTCTGCAACAGGTTATGCTAATGTTGGGACAGGAGTGTGTTTCCCTCCGTGTGACATCATCACCTTTTTCTTTGACCAACACTCAGTGAATGTTTGGGAACTGTGGACAATAACTGTTTTCTTGCTTGATACCCGACTTCAGTAACTCAACAGTCCGGGGTCAACATTGTCGTATTTTGTGCTTCATAATGTTCCACACATGTTCAGTGGGAGACAGGTGTGGACTGGTATCTGCAGTCCTTTACTGCAAAGCTAACCCCCAAATTCCACCAGATGCGTATTGGTTGCATCTGCGCTCCGCAGATACGCAGCCGATACGTTTCAATTCTAGTCAATGTGTGCTTCCACCGGCTGCGGCTGTGCTGCGTTCCGGCTCCGTCACAGCTGCGGCGCTCTGGAGCCCTCCGCAACAGATACGCAGGACTAGTCTGGGGCCGTTTAGTGGCTGTTTTGGTAAGGAGCCAGAACTAGGGCGAGAGAGACAGGATCCGGAATTTGATGGATGCACCTTTCCAGGCTCTTCCCCGTATGTGAAGAGCCTGGTGACACGAGGCTCTGCAGGACTTATATTTTTGCCGGACGCTGGAGCATAACGCCGCAATTCAGCACAGAGCAGATTGTGCGGGGCAGGAAGTCGTGCACAGAAACAAAATTCGGTTAATTTTCAAAATAAAATACACAGTGTTCACAGCAGATCATGTTTCCCTGCACTACACCTTGAAAATGTCATAATGGGCGGAGGCAGGCCTGAAGTCAACAGGTCAGAGGTTTTCAGACGTTAATCATGGAGGTGCACCGAGATGTCTTCCTACTACTCCTCTGGTTTTGTGGTTCTGTTTATGGAAACAACATCTTGTTGTATCGTGTGATTATGTGTGAATTCGCGAGATCTCGTGGGTCCTCGTGACTCCCAATGTCCGGCGGAGCTACACCGCTCCACACAGCAAACACAGCCAGTAGGTGTTGACGGACGGCAGAGCACACAGCGGATAACCAGCGCGGCCGTTCTGCAACGGCCACGCATCCAGTGGAATTCCGGCCTAAGGCACCAAACCCCCAGCTGCTCAGGGTGCCTGTCCATGGGCAGCCCCCCTCGCTCTGACATCTCTCCATTAAATGCATGTAATAATAATCTTTACATGTCAACAATTAAAACAGACGGGACATAAAAACTACAACTTTTAGTGTGTTTTAAGAAGGGACTTGAGAGATCACTGACTCCACCGACCTGATTTCCTCAGGCAGATTGTTCCAGAGCATCCTGACAGCAAACACTCAGTCCCCTTTAGTTTTCAGCCTCTGGAACAGACAAAAGACCTCTGCTGCCCGAGCACCTCAAAGTACGTCATGGCGTGTACGATATAAGAGGTCCGAGGTACAGCTGTATAGGTCCTGTTTGTGCATTTGTGTATTTCAGGCCTGTGTTTATATGACAACATTTTCCCAGTTATTATGGTTTTGCTCAGGTTGTACAGATTTTAGGGACATGAAGCATTTGAAGATACTCTAAGAAATGAATCACAATGAGCAGAAATACCAGTGCAGGAGAACATCATATTGGACCGAATATGCTTTTGAAACCCAAAATCTTATCGTCTGTTCCCTGTGTTCGTGTTGTCCCTTTTATAATTGCTTGTTTTTTACATAAACATTTTTAAATTTTCATAACGTGGACCCAAGTCGAAATCATCCACAGGATTTATTTCTTATTCATGATGCCATCAAAACTTGGTGATCACAGTACATTATCCGTGTTTGTTATTTAAATTATTAAGAGGTAGTTCACATTTTCAGCTCTCTGCTGCTCTTCTCAAGTCCATTTGCTCTGCTATGCAAACTGCCTGAAGGGATTTTAGGATTCCCTTTGTCTCCAGACGTCAAGGGTTAGCTCCGCCACGTCAAAACATATTGTCTCAAGTTTGTACAGGATGTTAGAGACAAGTTTAAAAAAACAAAAGTCTGTTCTGTCCCTTTTCTGCAGCAGTTATGACAGCTTGTACATGTTTTTTTCTCCCACTGTTTTGCACGTGAGTGAAGTAATGTCGTGTTTTTCATGTTGTGTTTCAGGAAGGTGATAAAAGGCAGCTTCGGGAAACATCGGTCCACCCTTCCAGCTCAGAGCGATACGTTCACACCTTCAGAGACCTGAGTAATTTCTCTGGAACCATTAACGTCACCTATCGTTATCTGGCTGGTACCCCACTGAACCGCAAGAGTAAGTTTGTTTTCAAGAGAAATTTACATTGACTGTTTTTTTATGAGCTCGGGGGAGTTACAGTGAGTCATAGAGGAAGTGTGAACACGAGCTGAGAACAAGAACTTAAACTTAAAAATCTGTGACGTTAGGATTTAAAGCACAGCAGTAAAAAGCAACGGCTCCACAGAGACAGTTTTTCCTCAAAATTAAACACTATACACACTCCTCTTCTCAACTATAGCATGATTTAGTCATCAAGTGTTTTTGTCGTTTCACCTACAATAAGCACAAAGCTCTAATTTGACGTCTGAGCCTCAAAATGTTTCCCAGGACTGTTGACAAAAATTCATCACTGGTTATCAAACTGCAAACGTTATTTCATCATATGTATTCCTTACTGGAAAAAATGTATTAAGAATGAAATACTAGTTTAAACTCAGGCTGTTCATATGTTTTCCCACGGAAAGAAATGCACCGTTTGTACCTATTGCACATAGTCATGAGCCAGTAATTTGTGTCTAACCCATGTATTTGGGAAGGCTGACATCACGTTGCCAATGTGCAGAATAAAGAAGGGAGCAGAACCCTTGCAGCCGTACACGTGCTGCGTTTTTTGCGCCCTCTTATCCATTGTTTAAATGTAGACAAGCTGCAGGCACGCTCAGACGCCAGAGTGAAAGTTCATGCGTTTCGGAGCAACTATTTTTTAGGGCACCATGCCCTGAGATAACCTGAGTTCAACTTGTGGAACACAGCAGCACACACACCCAATGCCATGGAACAAAGACCAACCAATCATAGCTGACAGATATCTTCCCCTTCTTCAGTAAATATCAGTCTGTGACAAATATGGAGGCGAAGTTGATCATTTTAGTGCAGAGCTGTCAGAGCTTTACATCAGTCCCTCAAACAATATTTTAGGCCCAATACACACTTGAAAATCAGCATCTGGAAGAAGACCCGCTCTTCCCAACCAACAACCAGCAACTTTCACCCAGGAGGCGAGGGGTCACTTCCTGTGCAACTGTAGAGCTAAACCCTGTTCTTTTATCCTAAACCCAACCGTGTGTGTGTGTGTGTGTGTGTGTGTGTGTGTGTTGGCTAAACATATTAATGTGCGTTTGTTGTTAAAGAAAAAAATGTCAATTCACAGGGTTGTACCAATGTAGTGCTTTTATTTTGAAAGAGACTGTATGCAAACTGTACATTTCCTGTGAAAACAGAAGTGTATTTTGAAAACAGACAATGCATGTAACAGGCTGAAGTTGACACGGCGTCCCAGAACGTCAACAGCCAACACACCATGTGGACGCGGAAAGTCCATGACCAAACGAAGATATGTGATGAGGTCAGGGTGAAAATGTGTTGTTCATGTTGATGCCATATTTCAACATGGCCAGGATGCTCAGGAACATGTGCCCAGGTGTAAATAGCATCTTCTTTAGATTTATTTTCTGGGGAACAGTCTTGAGATTGAAATGATGAATGTTTGTACAAATATTTACTGAAAACTGGTCACTTTCAAGCATTTCTGTGACATGATGATCATATCAAATGTTCATTTCTGTCCACAGAGTATCTCACCATTGGACTGTCATCAGTCAAAAGAAAAAGAGGGAACTACCTTCTGGAGACGATCAAATCCATCTTTGATCAGTCCAGTTACGAAGAGCTCAAAGAGATCGTGGTCGTGGTCCACCTGGCAGACTTTGACCTGGTCTGGTGTGAGAACCTGGTGCAGGAAATCACCAGGAAGTTTGCCCACCACATCATAGCTGGACGCCTCCTGGTGATCCAGGCTCCAGAGGAGTACTATCCATCTCTGGATGGCTTGAAAAGGAACTACAACGACCCGGAGGACCGGGTCCGTTTCCGCTCCAAGCAGAACGTGGACTACGCTTTCCTCCTCAACTTCTGCACCAACCTCTCCCACTTCTACATGATGTTGGAGGACGATGTGCGCTGCTCCAGGAACTTCCTGACGGCGCTGAAGAAGGTGATCACCTCCAGAGAAGGTTCCTACTGGGTGATGCTGGAGTTCTCCAAGCTGGGCTACATCGGGAAGCTGTACCACTCCAGAGACCTGCCACGACTGGCTCATTTCCTCCTCATGTTCTACCAGGAAATGCCCTGCGACTGGCTCCTCATCCACTTCAGGGGTCTGCTGGCCCAGAAGGACGTGATCCGCTTCAAGCCCTCGCTGTTCCAGCACATGGGCTACTACTCCTCCTACAAAGGAGCGGAAAACAAGCTAAAGGACGACGACTTTGAGGAAGACTCCATAGACATTCCTGACAACCCTCCTGCCAGCCTTTACACAAACATCAACGTCTTTGAGAACTATGACGCCACCAAGGCTTACAGCACCGTTGATGAATATTTCTGGGGGAAGCCTCCGTCCACAGGAGACTTCTTTGTCATAGTCTTTAATAAATCTACCAAAATTAGTAAAATCAAGATTGCCACTGGCTCTGACGACCGTCAGAATGACATTCTTCACCACGGAGCTCTGGAGGTAGGAGAGAAACTAGTTGGGACTAAAAAAGGGAAACAGTGTTCCTCCTATATCACATTAGGGGAGTTTAAAAATGGCAACATAGAGGTTCAAGACGTAGACCACAAAATTGCCTTTGACATTGAGTGTGTTCGCATCGTGGTGACGGCCAGTCAGAAAGAATGGCTCATTATTAGGAGTATAAGTTTATGGACTACACAACCCCCCAGCCAATAAGGACTACACACAAAGACTCTTAGTGTGTCATAGAGGCAAATGTTTTTATTATTACTATTATTTAGTAATGTATGTATTTCAGGTTTATTTATTCATTTTGTATGTATTTATTGATACTCATTTTGATTGCCAAATCAATCTATAGTTTTTATACCTGCAAGTTGTAACCTTAGTGGAGCATCTTCCCAGTCAGTCATTCTAAAGGACTGTTCAGCTGACCTCAGAGTATTCATGAACATATGTTTTATTAAATGTTCCATAAGCTTTTATTTATTTCAGATTCTGATCCTTAACACAGGGCTGGGCGATGATTCAGCGTTTGGTATTATAACAATATAATCATATTATGTTGTGATTTTACAGAGGTTTTCTGTCAAGGATGAGGCTCACAATATTGTCAACCCATTCTCATTCGTGGAGCGTCCAAAACTGATGCTTTGTCACGCCACTCAGCTTGCAATATCAGTGCAGCCTTTGGCGTCTTTATGAGACACACTGGGCTTTCATCTAACTCCAATGTAAACCTGTCTATAACAACGCTGAGAGCAACTGATGTAGGATAAAAATGGACAAAGTCCATGTAGGGTGAGTTTCAGGGGAAGTAGATGGATCAAACAAAGCTGAACTTTTATCAATCCACTCAGTGCTATTCAAAGTCAACGATGCTTCCTTAGTAGGACAGGTCCTTCCAAAATGGGTCCTACATAGGTTAGACAAGACTCATTTCTAGCATTCAATCAACACACATTAGAACAGGCTAGTAGGTGCCCAGGTGTGTGTCAGTGAAGAGGCCCCACCTTCAATACTGGCAAATTGTGTGCAAAGAATTCATGCCAACTGAAAATACACACATGCATCCTTGAACATTCTTTGAAGGAAGGACTCGGTCATTGGTAGAATGTGAAGGATCCTTGACACTGGAACAGTACTTCAACGGGATTCGATGACATAGCCTCCTTGAAATTCAGCCGTTTGAAGTTCCTTTCCTGGCTTTGAGAAGCAGTGTGGTTTGTGTCTGGTGTGAAACCAAAAGTCAGTGTTGTCATTTGGTTCATGCTTGTTTTTTGGGTGACAACAAATACCTGTAAGGACAGAACAAAGCACACAGGTAATTAATATGATCTGCGCCTTGCTGCTGTTTACTTCTGTTGTGCAACGCCCTCCATTGATGACATATCCTTGATGACAATGGTTCTGCTCAAAAATGTTGGAGACACAGGCTGGTTCACAGGATAGCACAGAGGTTCCAAGAGTCTTGAACAAAACCGGTTCGAGAATCATAGCTAATTTGGTGGAAACGGTGTAATAGAAATAATAAAGGGTTCCCTGTGCATCAATATGAGACCCCAGGGGCATGACAAAGCACTGGATATTTGACAACCTGAGAATTAGAATGGGTTGATATTCTTTATTTTTCTCACAGTCAACAAATCCAATGAAAAGACCAACAATGAATTGATCCCACAAACAGGTCTGTCGCCAGAGCCTGAGATATCTTATTCCTCTGTGCCATTGAGCTCCATTGTTGCCCAAAAACTATTAAAAGCAGTGAGCCATACGGTTTCATTGGATGTTACTTCATTTCAATAAACTTAGGCACTGTAGTTCATTTTGAGTTGAGCCCACACACACCATCCTGCTGCTGTAAATACTCACCAGAGCACCAAATGAGTATTAATCCGCAGCTGAAAATAGTTTTCAGTAGGAGTGAATGAACTCGGGGCTGAGAGCCACAGACTGGGAAGTCAGAAACTACTGAGAGGCGGACTAACACATTTTGGTTTTGTTCTTTTCATGTGGTTTGTTGACAGTAACAAAAATATAGAATCACACCAGCCTCATCCTTTAATGGTTCCAATGAAAATGGAAAGTTAGTTAAAGCTGGGGTAGGCATAAATCTGGAAGATGATAAAAAAAGGTAAAATTTGGAAATAAACCCTCCTCCTGCAGCTTTTTCCTCTCCTCTGTCCTAAGCCCCTCACTCAGCCCCTCCTTGACCTTCTCTCATGGTTCATCAGACCACAGGTGAGCCGAGAATAAGCTGCTAACCACCCCGCCATCTCTCTGGCCTGATCCCCGCCACTGCAGACTCCTTTCCTGGGAGAAGAGCAGGAGGCAGTCTGACAGACGGACCTTTGGTCAGCAGCATAGCGACTTAAATTCCAACCCTGTCTCACTTTGAAGTCGTCGAAAACTGGTGCTTGATCAATGACCTCCGGTGTCAAATACCGATGAAAGAGCAGTCCTTTCACATCGGCATGATATGCCGTCAGTCGCTGTTCTTCTGTAATGGTGTCCAGCGGCATCAGCTGGAAATGCAGTGGGACAAAATACATTAAGGCGACAAAAGTCCGAGTAGGGCGGGCAGGAGGGATGGAGGATGGGTCCAACAACCACCAACTTTCACCTGACAGGCTGTAAAACTGTAGGTTAAAACCTGTTCTTTTTTCTGAAACGCAACCACATGCGTATGTTGGCTAAACATAACCACGTGTGTGTCGAAGGAAAAAATACATCAGTTGGCGGTGTTGTTCATAAGTAGTGCTTTTTTTTTTAAAGAGACTGTATGCAAAGTGTACATTTCCTGTGAAAACAGAAGTGTATTTTAAAAACAGACAATGCATGGAACAGGCTGAAGTTGACACGGCGTCCCAGAACGTCAACAAACAACACACCCAGGGTACCTTGGACGTCATATGTGGACATGGAAAGTCCATGAGCAAATGTGGACATGTGACGAGGTCAGAATGAGAATGTGTTGCAAATTCTGTCAGCACAAAAACCCCCAGCACCGGGCATCACAGCTGTCTGGTCACAGCAGTGTCAGGTATATCCTGTGTAAGGGCAGCAACAGAAAGTTTGCTGATCCAGCAGGGAGTTGGGGCTGAGCAGGTCCGCTGGCTGGATTCAGGTTGCTGCAACTGCTTTCTAGGGGTCTGTGTCCAGAGCTGCTGCCTGCTCTTCTCCTGGCGAGGCAGTCTGTAGCAGCAGGGAGTGAGGCAGAGCAGACTGTGCTCTGAGGCTCTAGCTAACATTAGCTACATTTACATGAACATGAGCTCCAGTTAGCGGAAGGCTAAACTATTTTTTCTCCATCTCTGGAACACTTCGCTGTCAGACTCTCCTTTTGAAGTCCATTTTCCTTTTTTGGGTTCTTTTGCAGTGCAGTTAGTTGTTGCCAGTGTTGGAACTTTCTCTGCAGGATTCTCCGCCATTAAACCAGACGTTCACCATCTGAAGGGACGTTAACACACATCTGCATTTATAGAACAGTCAATAGGAACGCCCCCTCTCTGAAATGCTATTGGACAAAGTCTGTCTTCTAAAATAAAGAAAAGCATCCTCTAAAACCTAGAAGTGCCTACCTCAGCTTTGAGAAGGTTTTGGTGTATCAGTAAAACATGTTTCATTGCAAAGAGCATCAGTTTTATCATTTTAAAATCATGACGCATCAGTTTTATTGTATCCATATGATGACATTGATTCATCCATATATCGCCCATCCCTGCAGTACCTTGACAACATGAGTCAGTAGTGGGTGATGCAACAAACCAATCATTTATGAATGTTTTTGAAGGCTCTTCAGAAAGGTGCTTCAAGTTAGGAATGAAGACAGATCTCACTCAGAGAACAGCAACCGTCCAATTAAAGCTTCTCTGTCTTCGGCAGTTTTTCATGACTGATATTAAGCCTGAGAGTGTAGCCCTGGGATTTCTCTCTGAGAATGTCCCCGTTTGGCCCTTAATTATTTTCCTCCTTGAAAACCCACCAGGAAAGTATCAGAGGTCATTGTTGCCTTGAATATTCATCGTGCTGCGCCTAACTTTTTCAGTTTCAAAGATTCCTACCAGTTTAATCATCTTTCTCATTGTGTTTTGAGGCGGGCGTTTGAGTGGGCTGAGCTCTTTTACTGGCGCTGTGTGTTCCGTCAGGGCCGCTGACAGGAGAACAATGTTTGTTTTCACCCATCTTCTCCAAGAGCTGAGATTAGATTGCACAGTGAAGAATGGGCCAGGTCTGCTCTTAGGTCTCTCTTTTTTTTTGCACCACAGCACAATTTTCCCCCAGTAAATTGGTCTGTGTTTGCTTCACTCTCTACACCAGCAAAACAACATCTCCCCTGAAGCTATAGGATCTCAATTCGCTCTTTCCCCAATGTTGCGCTCTCACAACTCCAATGTTTCTGCTCCTACATGGTTGCCTCTCTGTGATCTTTGCTCTCATTTCATGCAGTCTGCTGCTTTGGGGAAACTTGCTTGATTTTCCTTTGAAGATCCTTTTTCGAATTCCCCACCTCTCTTTATGTTGTTTAACGGCAAACATTTGCAAGAATTAACGCTGCACATGTTTAACACATCGCCACCGTGATGCTCAGAGCAGCTCAGAGCCAGGCTTTGAAAATAACCTTGTCATTTTCCATGTTCGTATAATTATAACCTGTCTGTGAGCAACGTTCAGTGACAGATGAGTTTGTACATCGAAATGGCATCAAGAAATCACTCAACAATGCAATAAAGAGGTAAATGTTTACATAGAAGTGATGTTCTTTAGGAACATGAGGTGGAAGCAGATCGTCATTAAGCATGCTGCGACTGTTGTAAAGCTTTGTTCCACTGTTGCGATAGCCACCTGTTCCCTGTTTTCCCTCAAGGTCTTGTTCAGTGTCACAGATCAAGACCTTTCGCAGATTGGCTTGTACCAACACCTTGAAATCCTTCCTCAGCAAATCCCCCATGTGCTGTCCCAAATGAAATTAGAATGCCCACCGCCGCCACCACAATATAGCTTATTGTTTTTCCTCAGCATTTCCCTCGGAAAGTTGCTATTCATTTTGGTGAATGATTCCGTGACCCGCGTGGATCAGCTCCTCGGAGGGGATCCTGTTTGAATAGATGCTGCTCGGAAACACAATCTACATTGTGCTGCGCGTGTGGTATTCTTTATGACGCACACCGTGGTGCCAGTTCAACCTCGTATTACCTGCTTATGAGCTATAAACACATGATGTCACCGCAGGGCAGTTAGCTGTTTTACAAGTGTAATGGATGGCTTTGATACGGCTCGTGCCCGGGAAGAGCAATCGTGTTGTGGGGCTGATATTTCTGGAGGAGAAATTGCTGTCTGATCTTTATTTGAAATAAGATGCCAGACAAAACTAGCTGCACACTGCAGATTTATGGACAGATTTACATCTTGGGGATAACAACAAAAGCTGCATAAATTCCGCAACTGGATGTCAGCAAACTGCTGCGCGCAGCATTCTTCTGCTATTGGCAGCATGTTTGGAAACCACAATCCATACTCGGGCCTTGAGTGAACAGTTATACTGTACATTTCACTTGATACTAAAAGGATGTTCTCTGCTCTTGTTGAGTCCTTACGGCTAATAAATGGCCATCTTCGCTGTCCATTTGTCAAGAATTACACTAACTGCATCGGCAAATCTCTGCAAGGAAAAAGGCCAGGGGTTTGTGAATCACTTGCAGGCAGGTAACTGTCTGAGTTTGTTTAATTATATGGAGCTCCAAACAAGTGATGAATGTGAATATGGTGTGTGGATCCTGAGTTATTTGAGCTGTCTTCCAGTGGAGCATGTACAAAGTGCATGAACAAAAAGAATTTTTCAGTGGTTTTATACGTCAGGATCTATAAATTATTGTGCAGCTTCTGCTAATGAAATTGTACTGGGTTTGTACGTAGAAGCCTACCGATATTACCTTACAACAGGTTCGGAGTTCACATGTGCTGTATATTGTTCAGTGGAGCGAGTGTGTTAAGATGTTGTTCCTGTGTCTGTTTTACTTTCCATCGTTCTCTAAATGGTACTGTATTGTAAGATGACATATATTTTTTTACACGTATCATTTCAAATGTTGTACTGTATATATTGTATTTAAAATGAAATTAGATTAAACGAATGAATGCCGACTGTGTGGTGCATTGACTGCAGAGACGGAGGGGAGTGTGAGGGAGCTCAAGAGGGCGCAAAATATTGAATATGTGTCTGCAGTGTCGGGGCTTGAATATTGGTTTGAACGCCTTGGGGAAACAAAGCACTATTTACACGGCCCTGAATCCAAACTGTTGTCCCTCTGTCTTTGCCTGAACATGTTATGTTTCTCTGTTAAAAGTGTTTATGAATAAAAGTAGAAAATACAGCGTACATTTTAAATTTAAAGGGGAAAAAAAAACATAACTGACATTTGCAGTTCCTTGAAACTTGCAGCGAGAGCAAGCCTGTCCGACTCAGATCTCACTGTAGCCAAAAGCAAAAGCCATCCATTATTCATTTCAATATTCATATGCTTTCTGCTTTTTTTACTGCATACTTAATGAAGGTGTGGGGATAGTGCTTCGGGGGAGACTGTGCTGTTTAAAGCAACATGCTCTTTGTGTGTTTGTCAAGCTGGGTCATACATTTTCTCGTATAAAGAGTCCTATCAGACACCTGGGAGCATGGCTGACCAGGACAACAGACCAAAAATTATTCTGGAAGAGTGAAGATGATGAAGCCATTTATTACATTTTTTTATCGCCTGTGTAAACAGACACACAAGGCTCGGTGTGGTAAGTGTTTAATCTCCAGTGGTCACAACATTTGGTGTCAAAAATCACACCAATGACATCAGATCTAAGTGTCATTAATTATCTAATGCACAGATGTCTTAACATGTGCAGTCTTCATCGTGATAGCTGTGTCTCCAGTGTCCACAGAGGATAAACATCCATTTAGAAGATGTGACTTTAAATGTCGCCTCATAAACATATAATATTTTTCCAAAGAAATCCCTCCAGGATTTTCCAAGCTGTTTTTGGGATTGACACGGCGTCCCAGAACATCAACAACCAACGCACCCAGGGTACCTTGCACCTCATATGTGGACATGAAAAGTCCACGACCAAATGTTGATATGAGACGAGGTCAGGGTAAGAATGTGTTGGCAGTGCAGTATCATAATCTTGATTTATATCTGATCTCTTGATCTGTTTCTATACTCTGTGTGTGTCAGTAATGGCGGCATGGTTGGCAGGCAAGATGAAAATGTGGAAATACAGCATGTAGTTCGAGGAACAGCTACAGAACGCTTAGTTTGCGTCATCCAGAGCTTTGCTAATGGGAAGGAGGGATATCTGTTTAAATAAACTATGGTAAACTTCCCTCCATCTGACCAGACTATCCACATTGATTTGATAGAAAGCTGGTTGAAAATGAGCAAGTATTCCTTTAATTTGCATAACTTTAAGCCTTAATAAAATGTAAACAGGTGATTAATATAAAAATGAACCCCTCATTCAATTGTCATAAACTAGGAATTAGCTATAGAGAACAACAGTTTTTTATACCAGGCTGTAAATATGTTTGTTTCTGCTGTAAAGTCGGACATTGTAACATCCGTCAGCCCTGGAGGCCGCCCGGCTTCAACATGTAAAACAGAAGCCTGCAAAAAAAGGTCAAGAGGTGAAACACAAGCACAACCAGCAACCAATGATATTTATTTATTTTATTTGCAAAGAATAAAACGTAAAGAGACAGTTCAGATTCACTCCTAATGGTAATTGAATTATTCTGCTTTAACGTGTTGTTGACGGCCAAAACCACCATGTTC